CTTTAAAAAAAGGAATAATTCCAAGGCTGTAGTCTAAAGATGAAATTCCAACAGCTAACACAGAGATGGCAGCAGGTGGAGAGGACAGGGAGAAAAGATCAGGAATTCTACTTTGGACACGCTAAATTTGAGACGTCATAGACATGCAAATAGAGGTCCTGAGCTTTACATGAGCTAGATGTGTGTGTCTCAAGCCAGGGAGGAGGGCTGGGCTGGAGATAAACATTTGGGAATAAGCCTCAGTTTCTTCATTTATGACAAGGGATTACTATTAATACCTACTTCATTTGAGATTTGAATTTGATAACACCTGTGAAGCTCCTAGCACAGCCAGTCACATAGTAGGACTACTACTTACATTAGCTCAGTGGTAATCATAGTAGTAATTAGAGAAAACTACTTACATTGTTCATGTTCCTCAAACATCACACTTTGAATTTTTACCACTCTACAGTGAGAAAAACTCACTAAAGCTATAGTGTGTATATAACCTTTAATGCAGCCTAAAAATACATTTCATTCCCAAGTCGTCTGCAGTGACATCTTCACCCCACACCTGACCCCCAACCATGTAAAGGAGTCATCAGACGATTCAAAAAGGAAAGAAAGAGGGACACATGTAGAAACATGAATATCTTTTTACCCATCCTTTGAGAATAAAACAGCAATCTTCTTTGATATCTAAAGGAATTTTTATAAAAACATCCTGTTCAACATATAGTTACCCAACTCCAGCCTCCTCTGTATATAAAAGGCAAAACGAAAGCAACGCAGGTGAGGGCAGACGTGGTGAGCATGAGCATCCGGTGCACCTGCAAGGTGAGATGACAAAGCGAGCAGACGGTTAACTCTGAGAGAGAGAGGAGCTGGTGTCACAACGGAAGATCACGGTGAGATTCACTGAAGGCACGCACTCAACTGACACCTAATCACAGTCAGTGGTCGGTAAAAAACCCCTCGGTCTTCCACTGCACTTTAAAGGAAGCCCTTAGCTGCCAATCCTCATCATTCAAATGTACTTGCCAAGACTTCACCCGCACAGAGCAGCAAGAATGAACACTCCACACCCAGAGCACGCTTACTTGCCAAGCTCTTCATTTCCTTCCAAAGATACTTATTAAGCTCTACCACCAAGTACAGTTCTATACCAGGGGCAGTGAGATGGCAGGGAATCAGAAAATACTGTCTCCGGAGGAGCTTAAATATAATTGAGTAGATAAGCAAAAAATATATAAAATGTGTAATTCATTGTACAAATCAAGAGATTAAGAGTGAAAACAGGCACTGTTAATTGATTATGCCAAGATAAGTGTCTAGGCCAAAACTATCCTGGGGAAAGTAGGACATACAGTCTCCCTATGTCTATGTATACGTCACTCTCTATATACACACGTACGTGCACACACACCCTATACATCACGTGCACACACACCCTACACACCCTGTATACGTTTATACATACACACACACACACATCATAGTTTTAAAGGCAGTGGAATATACTGACTCTTAGAGAGAAGACATAAAGAGTTTTCCAGTTGGGAATATCCACGTGAGCAGATGAGAGAGTGAGAGAGCACGCACCAGTGAGAGAGCACGCACCAACGAGAGAGCACGCACCAGTGAGAGAGCACGCACCAACGAGAGAGCACGCACCAGTGAGAGAGCGCGCACCAACGAGAGAGCGCGCACCAGTGAGAGAGCACGCACCAGTGAGAGAGCACACACATATGAGAGAGCACGCACCAACGAGAGAGCACGCACCAGTGAGAGAGCGCGCACCAACGAGAGAGCACGCACCAGTGAGAGAGCGCGCACCAACGAGAGAGCGCGCGCCAACGAGAGAGCACACACCAACGAGAGAGCACGCACCAACGAGAGAGCACACACATATGAGAGAGCACGCACCAACGAGAGAGCACACACATATGAGAGAGCACACACCAACGAGAGAGCACGCACCAATGAGAGAGCACACACATATGAGAGAGCACGCACCGAGAGAGCACGCACATATGAGAGAGCACACACCAACGAGAGAGCACACACATATGAGAGAGCATGCACCAACGAGAGAGCACACACATATGAGAGAGCACACACATATGAGAGAGCACGCACATATGAGAGAGCACACACCAACGAGAGAGCGCGCACATATGAGAGAGCACGCACATATGAGAGAGCACGCACATATGAGAGAGCACACACAAATGAGAAAGCACACACAAATGAGAAAGCATGTGAGCACAGAACCAGAGGCAGGCACAGGCAGCAGCAAGGTATGTGTCAGCAGGGAGAACAAATAAAACAGATTGGCCCTGCCAGCCAATAGTGATAAATGAGGTTAGATAAGGTAAATCTTAAAAGCTGCAAATTTATACAGTGTCAGGGATACCCTCTTATAAAGTCAAACTGTTCCATAAGCAGTATTTTTTCTATGAACAGGTGTGTCCATTCTAACTCAACACATACTCAGTGATCTTCCGCTATATATGCAAATATCTATACTCCAGGAGCCATGAAAGACAAGGTTTGTTTTGCTTCCTTCCAAAGGGTGCTTAGTGACTCCTGCTTATGTTTCTGTTAGGAGACTGCCTCCCCATCCGAGGGGAAGGGGCCAGAACGGGAAAAAGAACACTTGCACTTTCTCTTCCTACCCACACAGGAGGGAGATGATGTTGGCTGAAGAGTTACAGATAATCTAGCACTCACTGGTCCATCAACCAGAGGACAGACCCCTGCTCTGAAATGCAGGGAGCACCCATTGTTTCTTTCTTCTGCTCTCCTGCCTTCCTTGACCCACCTTTATTCTTTATTCAGTGCAGTGGGTGAATGTTCTTCCAGCACCTCCTCCCACAAATAGATGTGTAAGTAAGGATCATTTGGGTCCCAAAGTCTATATTACAAAGGGATACACATGGCCCTGACATGTTCTCCAATACAGCTTGACTCTTCATAAAGCTGTTTGCATTTTGATCTCCATCAAGCATCCTGTGTCTGCTCTGAATTGGTTAGCAAACTGAAGAGAAAAAAGAGGATCCCAAACCTACAACAATTGTAACTACAGAAACAAAAAACAACAAAACACACATACTTCATATGTTGCAATGTTCAAATAATATGGAAATTGCATTGTTTTTCCCCCCACGTACCTGAAACCAAACTGCTTTACCGAGGAAGAAAGTTTTTGACCATACAGGTTTGAGGAACCGGGCAATCAGTACACCTATGCTAACAGTAGTCATCCATGCCACAAACATGAAAGCACCTACGGGTGAGAAAAGTACAATGGTTGACATCACAAGCTAATTAAGCTGTTCCTTAAATGGCCAAGCCAAAAGTTCAGAAAATATAAACAACCAGCAAAATTCATTCAGCCGACATAAGTATAACCAAAAAAGACCCGAAACATCATAGTTTTTACCACTATTACTACTTCTAACAGCTAACACTTCCACGGCTCTTATTACGTGCCAGGCACTCTAAGGGCTATACATGTATCACTCTAATTGGTCTTCACAACCATCTTATGACATAGTTACAATTATTTTTTCAGTTTTGCTGGATGGGGAAACTGAGGCATAGAGAAGTTAAGTAGCTTGCCCAAAGTTACAAAGTCGAGACAGACCTGGTCTGGCTTTAGCAACTGGGTTCTTAACTATTAGACTAATACAACCTCTTTTATTTCAGTATCTTCTCATATCTCACTCCAAAAATCAATGAAAAACAATAGGCACATTATTTCTGATCCAATTACTGCTAAACTGGAGCTACAACATGAATAGAAGCAAATTAACAACAATAACGTTATTTTCAAGTTTAACTGTGATAATATTATGGAAACTCTACTAAAATGGATAACTCTGGAGAATATAAAGGGAATATATCCAATAAGGAAAGCTCCCCCCAAATACTGATATTTTACAATTGTATAGTATACATTCCCCTACTTTAAAATCCCATCTTTTCAACAATAAGCCAGGCTACTTTTCAAATGTAATCAGTTTTCATCTGTAGAACCAGAGCATCTGTGAGCCTTGTTCTCAGGTTACAGTTCTTCCAACTTGGATTCATTCCTCATTAAGTACCACATTTGATACCTAANAAATGTAATCAGTTTTCATCTGTAGAACCAGAGCATCTGTGAGCCTTGTTCTCAGGTTACAGTTCTTCCAACTTGGATTCATTCCTCATTAAGTACCACATTTGATACCTAAGTATAGCACTGAGTACTTTGTATATCCTCAAATACCTGTACATTGATTAGTTCTTCAACAACAAAACTATCTTAGAAACCATACTACTGTTAATCAAAATCACAGACCATTCTTCTATTAGCATTTATTTTAATAAATGTCAAAAATTAAGGTCTCATAAAAGTTATATTAATTAACCCAGTGATTAACTTTGGCTGCTGTTAGAAACAATTAGGATACTTTTTTAAGATCATAGATGTCTTAAAAACTCTATTGGTGCTTTTAATGTGCAGCCAGGGTTAAAACCACTGAATTAGCCCTATTTTCCATTTTTAATAAAAATTAGCAAACATTAAGATAAATGATGCTACCTGCAAATGTTAATATTTAAACATAAAAAACTTATAAAAATTTGCTAATACAGCCAGCACTGAGTCACCAGGGAAGTTTATTCCACAAAGTAGTAATAATACTGCATATGTAACTTACCATGAACCTTCAGGAGGAGCAAAGAATGGGATCCTCCTATGTTCTTTGGATAGTCTGTCACATTATGTTTTTCATATGTAATCAAAGGCTGCTGAGAGTGCTTATAAACTCGACCTGAAAGTTTTTAAAATATTTTTTTAAAAAGATGACAAAGAAGAATTATCTCCTCAACAGAGAAAGAATTGAGAGATGGGCATGGTGTGGAAACGAACCTTCTTAAGGTAATAAAAAATAATTAAATATCAACAGATATATCACTCTTATGCAAAAGCAACATAAAGATATATGCAAGGGAACACAGCCTTTTTGAAAGAAGCTAAGGAAATAATTTAGCCAACCAAGAGAGAAATCGAAATAAGGAGAAGCTATGGTATAAGAACTGATGGTATGCAAGAGATAAGCAAAACAATATGTCAAAGTAATTAACTGTTAATATGTTCAAAAAGTTATTGAAAATGTCAAATATAATCCTTGAGAGTAAATATGCAATTTTTAAAAAAATCTGGGACTCCAAGAAAGACCAAGATGGTGACGGGTCTGGAGCGGGGGCGCCAGAAGACAGTGCGAGCCTGAGAAGTGTGTGCTGTGCTG